GGACCCCGGGCGCGGAGGTTCGGGGACAGGAGCACCTGCACCAGGCAAGAATAGGTGAGAGGCGCGGGACCTCGAGAGCGTGGGGGAAAACAGGAAAACATCTACCTACCGCTCGAATGGGTGGTCAGGGGTTGGAGCATCAAGGGTAAGCGCATCCTCAGCAGTGTGGTAGAGAGCCCAAAATACACCTGGTACTTCAGGATTTGAGGTAGAGACAGAATGATTCCCAGCGTTGTGTCTTCCTGAATAGCGCAGGGAATTAGACTGGTCAGAGCATCCCTCACTATCAGTGGTGGGTAGAGAGCCAACCTCCCCCTGCCCTGTAGAGCTGGAGAGGGGACCAGTGCACATCTCTTGTGCCTGGGGGTCTAGTGGGCTCCTTAACTTTGGGTCCCTCTGTGGGAAGCCCTCTGAGTCTACTTAAATACCATTCTTAACTGCTTGAATCTCAAGTTGCTTTATAAATTCTTTTTTTTTTATTATTTAAGATTCTGTTTGTTTATTTGACAAAGAGAGATCACAGATATGCAGAGAGGCAGGCAGAGAGAGAGGGGGAACTAGGCTTTCCGCTGAGCAGAGAGCCCGATATGGGGCTCAATCCTGGACCCTGAGCCTGAGCCGAAGGCAGAGGCTTAACGCACTGAGCCACCCAGGATAATTCTTTAGAGGGAAACAGAGTCAGGCAGAATCCTCCTTCTTCGCCAGTTGACACAGTCATCTGCTTCAGGGGAACAGTCTCAACCCAGGATTAGGGTTACATCAGAACTCCTGGGGGGAGCTTCGTCAAAATACGGAGGCTTCCCCAACATCACCACCATTCTCAAGTGTCTGATGAGGGTCAGGGTCCCATTGTGGTGAAAAATCTCCCTGGTTGATGTATGACTGATGCGGGCAGGGATGTATGACTGATGCGGGCAGGGGCATATGTACAAAATTTCTCTTTTTGGAGCTGGTTTAAAGCCGAATATAACAGCAGAGACTGCAGGTGGTGAATGAAAAGGTTTCCCCATCTCCTCTGCCAGTCTCTGACCCTGCATCTCTTAAAGGGTCGCTTTGGTGCTTTGGGGCCCTTACTTCTGTTTTTAGCTGCTCCCACCAGGCTTCTTCACGGCCTGGCTGAGCCTTGTGTCTGGCACAAGCTGCCTCTGGTTGGACATCTCACCCATTTGTACTCTGGGATTGATCCAAAGTACAAGTGAAAAAAAGTGAGGTACTTCTCAGCGTATCTGATGCATCCTGTCTCCACTTGACTCCAGCAAACTTGGGGGAGAAATAGCTTATGCATGTCTCAACTGTGGAGATCCCTGATCGATGTCCCTTCATATAATCTGGCTCTAAGTGGTCCTTTGCAGGATGCTAAAGTGCAAAAAGAGAGCTAGGGCCTGGTATTCAGACTTGGGGACTAACCCTCCCTTTTGTGTATTGTTTGTTTTAGGAGGGGCCTTGCATTGTCTTGATCTCCAGTTTGTGTGTGTGGTGGAGTTTGTTTTGTTTTTTTGTTCAGTACCTTCTTTCAGACAAGGGGGGTTGCCGCCTAGGGTTCTGTAGCTGATGTATTAAGTCAGAATCTTACGGGGAAGAGGATGGAGGCTGGTTCTCCTCTGTGGTGTGTGGGTCCCTGGTCCTTCTCCTTCAGGAAGTGGTTGTGCAAGTGGGTCTGGTTGTGCACGTTTACTGACCCCTGTAAACCTGAAGCCATTCCTCCCTCCTTTACCAAGATGCTCCTGGGTGGTTTGGGGTCATGAGCCAATGTCCTCAGTATCCAGCCCAGGGTTGTCCTGATACACACCCCGTGGAGTTTTTAAAAGAAAAAGAGCAACTATAATGCTTCTGTTCTTATTTTCTTAGCTTCTAGGGACCTATTAAAAGAGTTCCCACAGCCCAAAAACCTTCTCAACAGTGTAATTGGAAGAGCCCTCGGCATCTCACATGCAAAGGACAAACTGGTCTACGTGCACACGAATGGACCGAAGAAAAAGGTAAGTCACTGGTGGCTGGAGGAGGTGTTGGTGTGACTCTCAGGAAAGAGGTTGGCTGCCCTTTTCTCCCCCGGGTTTCTTGGTCAGGCAGGCCATAGAGTGGGTTTTGTGAATTGAAAATGGTCCGCAGAGACTCTCAAAGCAGAGCGAGGTCTGAAAAAGAGCCTCGTTTGGAGAAAGGGAACATGGGAGATGAGGTGAGGAGTTCCTCTCTTGGGTATGCCAGGCCTCTGCACTGACCCCTGGTTCTGGTCCCTGTTGAAGAACTGGGACTGCAGAGGGTCAGAGTTGATAAAAATTCCTGTTCCTAGAGTCTCGTAGGTCCTGGGACCCACAGAAGCATGCAGGCAAACCATTCTGAATGAAGATTTTTAACAATAAAGATGGGTCCCACCTTGCTCTCTGGCTAGAACATGGCACTTTGAAGAAGCAAAACAACTTGAGGTGGGATGAACGGCTTGAGGATGGGAAGGTTGAGCCTCACGGGGGTTAGCCGTGGGCGTGGGGTGCAGCCTACACTCGGCTCAGCTGCCATCAGGCCCCCAGCAACTCCGTGTGATCTCCAGGGGCCAGGGGCCTGATTCTCTCTTCTCTTCCCCAGAAAGTCACCCTCCACATAAAGTGGCCCAAGAGCGTGGAGGTAGAAGGCTATGGCAGCAAGAAGATCGACGCCGAGCGGCAGGCTGCAGCGGCAGCCTGCCAGCTGTTCAAGGTGACCCTTCCTGGCGAGAGCCAGGCCGACCTCCGTCCTGGGACGGCCCTTGCCCCGGGCTCTGATGGGCTTTCTGGTACCAAGTGCCTCTTGGTGGAGGCTCACGGGTGTTCACTCACTCACCTGTTCTCTCCACCTCGTTCTTTTCTTGCTGTGCAGCCAACAAGGGAATACTTGGGTGTTCTGGTTTGGTTTGGTTTTTGCCACTGTAGTTACCTACTTTCTGTGGTTTCAGAAAACACAGGAGAGCTCTTGGTAAATGCTCCTGTCGTACAGCACTGTGGATGTACTTCCATTTTGGTTTCTGTTTTTCTTTTCCCATGATTTCGCGTGGGTGTTCCTGCACCCACACGGTTTTCTGCTCCTTGGAACAGAAGCGCGGTTGTTGCTTCTCTCACTTCCCAGTGGTTGGGCATGGGCTGCTTTCAGGTTCCTGGTTACCCAGTATTTAACTAGCCCTGCAGCGCTGCTCACCAGCCTTCCTGGCCATCCCTAATGGGCTCCCTTTGTGGCTGCGCCAACCCTGAATCTTGCTCGGGCTCCTCGGTCTTTGTTTCTGCTCCAGTGGGGACAGAGCTATAGGGCGGGTGTTCCTTCAGATTCTCTCCCACCGAATCCACAGGCCTTCACTGTCCCCGCCTGTTCCCTGCATCTGAGGAGGAAGGGCCGTCTTCCTCGCCAGGCCCCCCCCCCCCTTCTCTTGTCTTCGTCCCCTTTCTGCCCCTCTACTCCGTCCCTCTCCCACCCTTTGCTTTTTGGATCCTTCCTCTTCTGACTCTTTTCCGTGGACTTCGCATACACTTACTTCAGTGTCCTGACTCCCTCCCCTTGGCCCTGGTGCCACAGTTGCCAGAGAGCAGGCAGCGCCCCGTGCTTGTGGTGTGCATTCTCTCCGCTGTGGGTTTGTGTCCCTCGTCCTGCTCACTAGTTGCCTTCTCCCCGCAGTGGCTGACAGATAGCAGTGGTCACCAGGTGACGGTTGAATGACTGGCACAATGCTTTTTCTGGCCAGCCTCTCGGTCCTCGCCTTGCTTGAGTGTTTTGGGCCTGGATGCCTTCTCCCTCCCCTCTCTGGTGGGTCACTACAGGCTCTTCTCCTCCCACCTTCTGTTGACATCAGTTTTCTCTCTACCCCTTTCCCCCCCTGGGGAAATCTTATCTCTTAGTGGTTTAGCCACCATCTGCTGAATTTCTCAGAAATCTCCCATCTTTCAGAACAGCTCTACCTTGGGGAGTCTCAGCAGGGGCTTGAGGGGGGAATCTCAGCACGGGGTTGTGGGGACGGATCCGGATACAGATTTGGCAGCGTCCGGAGACATTCTGGGGGCCACAGCTGGAGGAGTGCTCCTGGCGAGAGGCCAGGGATGCTTCTGAAGGCCCCACGGTACACAGGGCAATATCCCACAGCAAAGAATTAGCTGGTCCCAATGCCAGTAGTGCTACGAGTGAGAAATTCTTCTCTGACGTTTAAAAGGTGGCCTCGGTGCAGCAAGTCATGGTCACGTCCCTCCCCCGCCCTCTCTCTGTCTCTGTCTCTGCTGTGCTCATAGCCTCTCTTTTGTTGATTTGTTTGTTGAATTGTGGTAAGTTACACAAAATGTAAAATTTACCATCTTAACCATTTTTCAGCAAACAGTTGAGCAGTGGTAAGCATTGTGCACCTAGTCTCCAGAACTTTTTCACCTGGCAAAACTGAACTCCCAGAGCCATTAAACAGCAAATCCCCTTCCCCTTCCCGTCAGCCCCTGGCAGCCACCGACCTGCTGCCTGATTCTATGAATTCGACTCCTCTGGGACTTCATAGCCTCATATAAGTGGAATCCTACAGTATTTGTCTCTCTGTCTCTGGCTTATTGGACTTGCGTGGTGTCCTCAAGGTCTGTTCATGGAGCTTGTGTCAGAACTGAGGCGCACTCCCTGGTCTGGCCGTGCTGCATCAGGTTTGTGCACTCACGCGCTGATGGCCACTTCGGTTGTTTCCAGCTCTCGGCTCTTGTGGATGATGCTGCCGCGAGCCCGAGTGTACAGTGAGTCTCCTCAGGACACTGCTTTCAGTGCCCAGATATGCAGTTGTTGGATCATGTGCTAGTTCTGTCCTTAATTCTTGTAAGGAATTGCCGTGCTTATCCCACGTGGGGTGGCTGTAGCCCTTCACGTTCCCACCCAGAGGGCACAGGCTCTCTCTGTCTGTACCGGCGCTTTGGGATGTGGGTTTTGGCAGCCGTCCTCGGGCGCGTCAGGTGGGATCTCTTAATCTTGACCGGCATTTCCCTAATGCGTACTGACGTTGGGCATCTTTTCTTTTCTCATTTTTAAGATAAATTCTTAAGTTTTGTGTTAACTGCACAGAGCTTTCTCTGTAGGTAAGAGATCACATCCTAATGGCTAGATCTTGTACAGATCAGCCGGAAAGGACAGAATGAGCTGAAGAGAGTGTTTGCTTTTCACATCCCCAGGCCTGGTCCTTGCCCGTCAGAAGGAGGTAGCTCTGTCGGTCTTCACAGCTCCCAGAAGCATCTTTGCTCACTGTCCTTCCGTTGCCTTCCCCTTGGGAAACACACAGCTTCAGAGCACAGGGAGCTGCGTTGGAGCCGAATGGAGTCTCCTTCTGAGACGTGGGGGGGGGAAGGGCCTGCTTTCATCAAGTCTTCTTGCCGTGATGGAGTTGAAAATGAGGCAGAAGTTCTAAAGGGCAGCGTTAAACCAAGCCGGCGATGGATTTGTGGAAAATGAAGTTCCATAGTCACATACAGTAATTGTTTTTTTTGGGGGGGGGGAATGTTTCTCCCCCAAATGTACCTAACGCAGGTGGGAGGAGGTGTTGGGGATTTGCGCCCGAATGTGTCATCTCGCGCCGCGCAGCGCCGCGAGCAGCTACAGTTTCGGAGGCGTGTCGGCGTCTTGTGTTTATTCCATTTGTGTCTCTTTGGAGAAACGTGTGACGTTCTTGGCCTGTTGTTTAAGCGGGTGGATGTTAAGCGGGAGTCCTTTCGGTATTCTGGAGTTCACAGCTTTTCCGTTCCCCAGCACCCGCGCTCGGTTCCGCAGCTCCTTCCTCCCCCTGCCCCCGCCAGAGCAGCGTGCGTACGGGCGTTGCCCTCCTGCTCGGTGCCCCTTGCCGCGGCACAGAGGTCACTGGGAGCAAATGCGCGAGCAGCTTAGCCAGACTTGGATTGGAATTACGTTCCTTACGTTCATCTGGCTTCTCCGTTTGTGGTTCCTTAGACCCTGGTCACCTGCATTTTTGTTCTGCCTCATGGGTTTGGAGTTCCCTGTGGGCAGGGACCGGGTCTCATCTCTCCTGGTGACGCGCAGGGGAGCCAGCACGTTGCTTTGGGGGTGCTGGAGACTCAGCACGTTTTATTCGGTATTCTCTCTGGAAGAGAATGAAGCTCTAATATGTTTTAAAATAAGACATTCTGTATGAAGGCTGTACAGGCATCCCAGGTTATTTTTAGAATACGCTCTCAGCATAGGGTTCTTTGGTCAGACCGGAGATAGATCTGTTTTGTAGGGTGGGCTCCATTTCTCCTAACTGCTGTATTCACCGAAGCTTTCTAGATCACTTTGTGAATGTATCAGCTTTCCCATTGCCCTGGGGTTTTTTTTTTTTTTTCTTCCAGTTTTTTGTCTAATAGATGTAAGAGTTTACCTCGTCATTTTCATGTGTCAGAGCTAGACCTCTTGTGTGCGCTCTTACCCACTTCTGGCCTGGGGGCTGAGGCGGGCGGATGGGTGCAAAGGTATGGCTCCTGCATAGGGGACAGCGTAAGGGGGCAGGTTTTGGACAGACTGAGGCGTGAGGATGCCCCCTCACAACACGCCTTTCCCCCCAGGGCTGGGGACTGCTGGGTCCCCGAAACGAGCTGTTTGATGCAGCCAAATACCGCGTGCTAGCCGACCGCTTTGGCTCTCCGGCTGACAGCTGGTGGCGCCCGGAACCCACCATGCCACCTACTTCCTGGCGGCAGCTGAACCCCGAGAACATTCGGCCAGGGGGCCCTGGGGGCCTGTCCCGCTCCTTGGGCCGGGAGGAAGAGGAGGATGAGGAGGAAGAGCTGGAAGAGGGGACCATTGATGTCACTGACTTCCTGTCCATGACACAGCAGGACTCCCACACCCCACTCAGGGACTCGAGGTACAGCTGGACGTGGGGGATGCAGGGAAGCTGGCTGCACCTTGACATAGGGATGGGGGTGTTCCTTGGGAACCTTGTTCATATCGGTACGTTGGTACGTCTGCCATTGTGCTGTGTGGCTGGGCTTCCGCAGAACGGCAGCAGGGACCCTCCCTCCGGGCATACTTGGGTCCCGCTGAGGCCTAGCCACTACTCTGCCTGCCCCTGGGCCCCTACCCCTTGCCCCCAGTTACCTATCTGGGGGAGCGGAGGGAGCACCAGTCATGCTGTGTGTTTGAGAGGATCATAGGCCATGTGAAGATGCTGGGCCTGCCATCTTTTCCATGCCTCTTGCTGCCTGCCGTGCCCCTGCACTGTCCCAACCCCTGGGCCTCAGAGCCTGAGGTGAACGGGCCCAGGAAGAGAGAGATTTTTCACCTGAACTTTTGGTCCTCCCAGGGGGGGTTCCTTTGAAATGACAGACGACGACAGTGCTATTAGGGCTCTGACCCAGTTTCCACTTCCCAAGAACCTTCTGGCCAAAGTGATTCAGATAGCAACATCGTCCTCCACAGCTAAGGTGAGTCGGGTCTCCTCGAAGCGCGTGTGGGTGGGGAGCTGGCTTGGTTGTGTCTGCTTGTCCCTGGGACCAGGTAGGAGGGGATCTACAGGTATGTGTGAGCTATGTCCTCAGCCTGCACATAGGCCAGGCGGGGGGCTCAGGGTCCTTGGACTATAAAGAAGGTGATGCAGCCGGGAGTGAGTGGCGGTTGGTGTAGGAACTCGGGGCGGGCTGGCTCCGTGGGAACGGGAGACCCGAGTTCGGTCCGGGGTGGCTGGCAGGAGTGGTATAGAGGTGGCGCTGTCTGGCTGAGGTTGAGTTTCATCTCTGTGGCCGGGCTTCGGGCTTCAGTCAGCACAGCTTCTCCCTAGGGCTAAGGGCTTTACGCACCCCCAGAATGTGCCTGGTTCTGGCTCATGCTGACAGGTTCGACCCACAGCTGCCAACATCCCTGTTTGCTTCAAAGGTGCTGAGAGCACAGTGGGCTTGGAGGGTAGGTGGCGGCCCTGGCCAGACACTGTCTTCTGCTTCGAAACCACGGGATGGCTGGAGACGCCAGCCCTGGCCTAGGGAGCCACGGCCCTATTGGGGCTGGCTTCTGCTGCCCAGTGGCCCGTCTCGTGTGCCCGATATTTGGCACCTGCCGAGATGGGGGTTCATTTTCCATTGCTGGATTCCTTGGGATTCTGAGCGCTGCTTTCTCTGCCTTTCTATAGCCATCTCTCTTGCCTTCCATGTAGAACCTCATGCAGTTCCATACTGTGGGCACCAAGACCAAGCTGTCCACCCTCACTCTGCTCTGGCCCTGTCCCATGACCTTTGTCGCCAAAGGGCGCCGCAAAGCTGAGGCTGAGAATAAGGCAGCGGCCCTGGCCTGCAAGAAACTGAAGGTGAGTCGGGGCGGGGCAGTCCCTGGCATGATGTGTGCGAGGTCTTGGAGCTCCCCTACCCTTGGCGAATCGGTCCAGTTCTCCAGGAAATGGAATCCACCACACCAGGCCTTTGGCCTGAGCACAAAAGCATCTGATGTCCAAGCCTTGCTTGTCAGGCCGTGTGGCTGCTGTTCCCAGGAATATCCTACTCCCTCCGAAGGTGCTTTGCTTGGAGCTCAGCCTTATTGGTCGTGTTGCCAGAACCCAGGTGAAGCAGGGAGGCGACATGGGTATTGTTTTGAATGGCACAGAGCTGGGGGAATGGTGCCCTTGCTGAGAGGCAGACTTGGTGTCTATAAAGATCTAGATTACCTGGGCTTTGTGGGCAAAATGGATCATAAGGTGTTATCTCCGTGAGCCTCAAGGTGAGGCAGTTAGAGGCTTTGGAGTCCAGCTGTGCGCAGTGGTGGGAGCCAGCGCTGCCTTGACTGCCGCAGAAGTGGGTGATGGGAATGCACAGCAGCACAGTTTTGTGTGCAGGGGAAGAGGGTGAGGAGGCCCTGCTCTTTGCTCTGGTCAGATGGGCCTTTGGTACATGTTGGGCTCTGGGAACCCCATTTTAGCCACAGCTGCTCGTGAGAGGTAGTGAGAGCCAGGAGAATGGAGGAGGGATCGGGGCACCTGGGGGTGCAGTCTGTTAAGCATCCGACTCTTGGTTTCAGCTCAGGTCATGTTCTCGGGGTCCTGGGATCAAGCCCCGGATGTTGGGCTCAGGGCTCAGCAGGGAGTCTGCTTGAGAGTCTGTCCCTCTGCCCTTCCCCCGACTTGCGTGTGTGCTCTCACTCAAAGAGGTGAATGAATGAAATCTCAAAAAAAAAAAAAAAAAAAAAAAGTGAGCAGTACGGTACCTGTGGCTCTGGTGACAGATGGAACTTTGTGGAAGTCTTGAGTCTTAGCTGGATAGACACTGAGGATCGGGAGCCTCGAGGTGTGGGCGTGTCACAGGAAGGAGCCAGCTCCCAGGTGGCAGCGGTGCGGAGCATGCAGCTGGCTGGCCGCTGGTCAGAGGCCGAGGGCAAACCCGCAGGCCTGGAAAGGTGGAAACCCGGGAGCGAAGCGGCTATGTGAGCACCTCCGTGCCCCAGGGACTAGATGCTTGCCCTTGGGGTCGGCCAGGAGCCCCTGTGAGGGTAGTCTTCCTGAAGGAGAGAGTCTTGGGGGGCAAGCAGTCCTGATAGCACAGGGGACAGGAGCACGGGAGTAGGGAGGAAAGACCGGTTTTGCACACCTGCCTGAGGTGTTGGGACACCTTGGCTTAGGTTTGGTGAGGTGACTTGGGGCATGTGTTTATCAAGTTGTATGAATAGACATTTCTAAGAAATTCTATCTACGTTTGTCTGATGGGGTCACAGGAGGAATGGGTGCCATGTGGAGACAGGGTAGGATGGCAGCTGGACCAGAAAGGTTGCAGGGGGCGGGGTGTGCTTTGGAGGTAGTGAAAACAGGGTGCTGTAAGGCTCTCATGGGGTCAGTAAGGGCCCGGCCCTCCTGGCTTAGAGGTCCGTGCTGGGAATTCATAGCGGTGAGGTTGGGCTGTCATGGGGACCCCACTGCTCCAGGAGAGGTTTCTGAGGGGCATTCCTCCTGGACATGTCGGGTCTTGTTCGTGGGATGATTTTTAACTAGTTACATTTTGGGACAGGGTGGAGATTACATTTTCCAGGTTCCTAATTGCTCTTCTCTTTATAATGTCTGCTAAAACCCAAAATCTCTTAGAGAAACATTTGCTCTGCGTGATTTCGCTCAATCTCCTGAGCCTGTGTGGGCTGGTTCTGGGGCGTCAGGGGCCCCGAGTGAGCCATGCGTGTCCCCTCTGCAGAGCCTGGGCCTGGTGGACCGCAACAATGAGCCGCTTACCCACGCCATGTATAACCTGGCCTCTCTGCGTGAACTGGGTGAGACGCAGCGCCGGCCGTGCACCATCCAGGTGCCTGAGCCCATCCTCCGAAAGATAGAGACCTTCCTGAACCATGTAAGAGAGCCCAGAGAATCCCTCCCCACCCCCGCCCCTGGCTCCATCCAGTTTCTCCTGACTGAAGGCCTCCGGGTGCAGTGGGCATTGCCACCCACCCTTTGTCCCCACTGAGGCTGGAGCCCGGGAGCACCCTGGCCCCAAGCAGCCCAGTCTCGCCCACGAGAGTCCTCGGGCAGTTGTGCACG